TTTTGGGGCATTTTAACTTAATAAAGCACTGACAGACTCACACTCTTCTGTTTTTAATGCAACAGAATATGCTCGCTCGCTGCTCATTTCAGTCAGAAAGAAGTGGCATCATATTTAAAAGAAATGTTGCTAAATGCAGATTCTTTTCAATGAAATATTCAGCATTAGTTAGTGGTTAGGATTCATTGTTTGTGCTCAGTCAAATTTATTCAAAACAGTTCACGTAGAAGATGAAAACTAAATTATCTTTATATCACTTATTTTTAAATCATTTTATCTCACCACAGGGCAAGATTCTTTGTATTTTAAAGCTGTCATATGCAAATATTGATACATGATTCACTTTATGTTTAAAACCAAGCTGCTGTTTGCTCAGGTTTTGCTGATGGATGGATGGATGTTGGCAGTGATGGTTTAAAATGGTGGATTGATGTGATCTGATGTCACAGCAGATTTCTCTTTGTATGTTAATCTGCCTTAATCCAGTGTTTTATTTTTTTTCATCTCCCTATGTGTTATCACAGTGAGTCTCTGTGAGTGCCATAAAGTCGTGAGCCTGCAGGCAAACAGATACAACACAGACAGACAGATCTTGCTGTGCCAGAGAACCTTGTGGAGTTACCGTAGCCCACATTTCAGACTTCTGCCAAAGCAGATACAATATAGGCTTACTCTGGATGAGCTATTTCTAAAATAAACATACTTAATAGGGCTGAACAAAATATTTAAAACATTTGAGCATCGATACTGCAATGTTGGTATCCACAATAGTCACATCGCAGGATTAGATAATTTTTTTTAAAGAATATTATAGAAAAGATAAAGAAATTATTTTAAAAAATCATTTGTACATTAATGACCAAGTTGTTTTACATTTAATTGTTCAATTTATGTACTTGAATACTGTTTGACTTCCTAGAAAACCATTAAACACTGCTTATTTAACTTTTTCACATAGAAAAAGACTTAATCATCCCAGTTAATCTAAATGAATGAAATCTTTTCAAATAGAGCTGGTGAAATTATATTCATATCAAAATACATATCGCAGCAAAATGAAATATTGCAATGCCAGATTTTTTTTTAATATCGTGCAGTCCTAATACAAAATATTGAATATGTTGAAGTCAGAATTATTAGCCCCCACCCCCCCCCCCCTTTGATTTTTTTATTTTAATTTTTGTAATTTGTAAAAAAATTCCAAATGATGTTTAACAGAGCAAGAAATTTTTCACAGAATGTCTGATAATATTTTTTCTTCTGGAGAAAGTCTTATTTGTTTTATTTTGGCTAGAATAAAAGCAGTTTTACATTTTTTAAAAGCCATTTTAAGGTCAAAATTATTAGCCCCTTTAAGCTATATATTTTTCAATAGTCTACAGAACAAACCATCGTTATACAATAACTTGCCTAACTACCCTAACCTGCCGAGTTAACATATTTAACCTAGTTAAGCCTTTAAATGTCACTTTAAGCTGTACAGAAGTCTTGTAAAATATCTAGTCAAATATTATTTAATGTCATTATTGCAAAAATAAAATAAATCAGTTATTAGAGATGAGTTATTAAATCTATTATGATTAGAAATGTGTTGAAGAAAATCTTCTCTCCGTTAAACAGAAATTGGGGAAAAGAAATAAACAGGGGAGCTAATAATTTTGACTTCAATGGTATGGATCTTTTTATTTTAATTTTTTGTATTTTTCTTTAAGGTTTTTTTGAATACTTTGCCCACATTCACCTCAAGGAATACCGCTTTTTATATAAAGAAGACACATAGAGTACACATAGGGTTGGGTGATTTGTCCTAAAATCTAAATCTTGATTAATTGAACATTTTAACTCGATTATGATTAATTACAATTATTTTTTAAAATTTATTTATTTTATTTTTTCCCTCATAGCTTGAATAAAGATTCTTGAATAAAGGGCGCATTGCTTGATTTTAAAATAATTGAAGAAAACACACACTATCTACTATCTATGATTATTTATTGAACATCAATGTGCAACAATAACTGAAATGAAAACACACATTGCCTAAAACCAACAGTCCCTTTTTTCTTATAAAAAGTCAAAAGAAATAAGTTGCACTTTTGGAATTAATTATTTTCAATGTTTTTCATATTAAAAGTTAGAAATATGCAGCATCTCTTCTAAAATAGCACTTGTATATCGTGTAAATAATACTTTAAATGCATGCTTTCTTCATGGGTGTTTGTATTTTCTGAACGCTACCTTAATGTAGAAAGAGCTTAAACCTATAAATAAAGAGAACTCAAATCAACTGAGTACTGTAAAACCCAATATGTTAAGATAACTCAAACCGTTTGAGGAAACCGATTGCAACAAACTATTTGAGTTAAACTAATATACTGTGAACTTACACCATTTAGGTTGAAGTAATGAGGTATTTAATTAATTTGAGCTTAAAACTCTTCAAATGAGTAGAAATAACTTTCAGTAAAATTAGAGTTAACTACACTCATTTCATTTGATAAAGTTGACTGTTTGGTTTTACAGTGGACTAAAGTATAGGTAGGGATCTTCATTTGCCATAAAATTGGTTAGATTATGATTGAGAAAGTAAGGATTCAATTATATCAGACCCAAAACTACTTGACTGGATAACTTTTTTTAATTGAGCTTTGGTGAAATGTTGTTTTCTGCCCAGTTTATTGAAGTGTTGGTAAAAAATGGCACAGCTTCAATGAAAGTTGAGCATGAATTCAGGCCTCATGTTGTGTTTATGAAACAAATCCAAATGATTCATCAGAGAAATCCTAATTACACATCAGTTTTAGTCAGTGATTTTCATTGTCTCAATAAATGTGTACAGAATATTATAGTCATTAAAATAATTAGCTATATAATAGATCTGCACGATATGGAAACATGAGACATTGCAATATATTTTGTTTGTTTTGCCATAAACAGTGGGGGAAATAAGTATTGTACACATCACCATTTTTCTCAGAACATGTTTCTAAAAGTGCTGATGACTTGAAATCTATACCAGATATTTTTCCATTGGATTCGAGTGTGGTGATTGGCTGGTCCATTCTACATCTCGATTTTCTTCTTCATGTATTCTTCATCCCTTTCTTCATGTATTCAATACTTTTTTTCTGAGCCACTTTATTTCAAGTCAACGGCACCTTTAGAAATAAGTTTTCTGAGAAAAATTGTGACATGTTCAATACTTATTTCCCCCATTGTAGCTTGAACCGCTCTGTTTGGAAAGTACTGATTTGGGATTATTCTGTAGGCGAGTTACCAATTTATAAAATATAGACAAATTATAGATAAAAGTGAATTGTAAAGTGTTTTTATGGTTTTCTGAGGAGTCTAGCAGTATTCAGTTAATGAAATTGATAAAAATCAAATGTAAAGTAAGACTATAGTCCTCATTGTGTAAATAGTCCAATATAATCCATCTGTGTTAAAGTTACAAACGGTGCAATTGCTTGTGCCTAAATACATTAACTTATGTATTCCTGAAGGCTTACAGACATTAAAAACACCTGCAAAAAAAAAAAAAAAAAAAAAAACTTGACTCTGTTATAGTTTAACTCTGCAGTGACTTCACAAACATCATGTGTTTTAAAATGTTACTCTTGGTCTTAACTATAATCCCAAACGAAACATTGGACATTCTGCGATGTGAGCATCTGCAATAGTCACATAGCGATATCAAAATATTTAACAATATAATGTGCAGTCCTACTGTATAACACAAAATATCACTACAGTGTATGTCATGGAATGCTATATTTTGGAATGGTAAATCAAAACTGTGTTGTATACCCATTCAAAACAGATGTGTATTCTTTTCTGTGAATATTAATCAGCTTTTGACTGATTCATTTGCTACACAAATTCAAGCACACAAAATGTTTTAGCATCTGCTATTTATTATTAAATTGAACACATTTTGTAACTACTGAAATGTGTTTTTAAATACAGAAAAAATAAAAGTTCATCAGGCCCTAATTTTTATCTAAAACCGAAAATGCATAAGCCGGCAGCTAGCTCTCTGCAATTCTCACATGGTCGCCCACTGAAGCTAAGCAGGGCTGCGCCTGGTCAGTACCTGGATGGGAGACCACATGGGAAAGCTAGGTTGCTGCCGGAAGTGGTGTTAGTGTGGCCAGCAGGGGGCGCCCAACCTGCGGTCTGTGTGGGTCCTAATGCCCCAGTATAGTGACGGGGACGCTATACTGCTCAGTGAGCGCCGTCTTTCGGATGAGACGTTAAACCGATGTCCCGACTCTCTGTGGTCGTTAAAAATCCCAGGATGTCCTTCGAAAAGAGTAGGGGTTTAACCCCGGCATCCAGGCCAAATCTGCCCACTGGCCTTTGTCCATCATGGCCTCCTCACCATCCCCATATTCCAATTGGCTTCATCGCTGTCTCCTCTCCACCAATCAGCTGGTGTGTGGTGTGGTGCCGTCGCGTCATCCAGGTGGATGCTGCACACTGGTGGTGGATGAGGAGATTCCCCCCATTGTGTGTAAAGCGCTTTGAGTGCCCAGAAAAGCGCTATATAAATGTAAGGAATTATTATTATTATTATTAAGTATCACAGACACTAAATTTTAATACTTTGTTCTTATTACACAAAACTTTTGGATAATCTCCCACTGATCATAACCATGTTTAAAATGCTGCCTTCATTCCATAATGACTCTTTTTCTATTCCATCGTAATGTATTTCTTAGATGTGAAAGCAGTGACGGCCAATATTGGAACGATTTGATTTCTTCTAGTGCACAATGACTTGAAGAACCTTCGAGTATAATGGACTCGGGCTGTTTCCCTAAATGTTTTCTGTTTTATGATTGATTATTTGCCTTTAGCCGAAATTTCCCTCTGTCTCCTGAATGCGGAGGGCAATAGTTTAAAGACATTAGCTTGACTCTGAAATGAGCTTCAGGGGGTTGAAATGGGCAGCTAGTAAATGACTACAATATTGAATGTGCCCGTCTCTTCTGTTCTAGCTTTATGTACCCTGTTGGAGGGGGCATTGGACCACCGCAAGGTAAGATGTTTACATTTTGTCTGTGTTTTGCATTGGACTCTTTTCTACAATGAATCAACTTGTATTACATTTGAAATGAAAAACAATGTGTTGTTTTATGTTCGGTTTCTCCCTTAATGTGTTATTTATTGGCAGGAATGATGCCCATGCAGCAACAGCAGCAGCAGGGCTTCCCTATGGTCCAGGTTATGCAGCCTAACATGCAAGGCATGATGGGAATGAATTTTGGAGCACAGATGCCTGGCGCCATGCCAATACAGGTCGGTTCGATTTTTAGCGGACAGTGAGCACATTTACATGCACACCAATGTGTTGGCAACTCACAAAAAATATTCTTCTGTTAGCCAGCTTTACATACAAACCAAGAACCCAGCAAACTGTTTACTGAGTTTACAAAACTTTATCAAACCTAATTATTTTCATAATCAATAATAAATACTGTTTAGTATTTATTTGTCATGTTGTTATGTGATTAAGTTAATCATTAAAAACGAAAAAACACATTAGTGGGAAATTTATGGCTTATATATTACAGGGCTCAACAATAAGGACTGCCCGATGGCCCAGGGTCAGCCTGAGAGAAGCTTGGGACAGTAGACAGGATCATTAATGGCCCGATTAGGACAGTGCTGCCTTGTCACTAAATATTAATTTGTCTGCGACTATTTGTAAATTGCGTACATTTTAAGTTTGTGCTTTTACGTCTTTAAATGCTATCTTCTCTGTGATGTCGTAAACACCATATTGCTTTTTGGTTCCTCTTATCTGATTTGATGTTTTGAGCATGCTATTATTTTTCTTAACCTGGTAACAACCAGTCCAGCAAAGAAACGGCAACATGGCTGCAACATCAGATTTTAAAATGTCTGTTTCTAATGTCTTGAAAGCAGACGTTTACGTGGGAACAACATGACAAAAAAATTAAGTGCAGTTTTGCACACTTTGCCATCAGTTTGACAAGTCAACCATCACATTAAAGTATTGAAATTCTAGATTCACAGAAATTATTTTTGACATATTATTTTAAAATATGTGGCAAAATGTTAGCTATTAACTTCTCTCTTTTTTTTTTTTTGGTGGGGCTAGTGAAAATTTTGGCAGGGCAAGTTAAAATCTGAACCACTGGCCTGATCAGACTCGTAAAAAAACTTTAGCGATGCACCTTGTATTATAATGCTGCATTTTAAAAGTTTCACTTCTGTTTCAGCTCCAAAGATGACAAAGATCTACAGTATATTTTTATATTTTTTAGTGCTGTCAATCGATTAAAAAAAATGAATCACATTTAAAAAAAAAATTAATCCCACTTGCTTTTCACTTTGCGATTGCGTTGAGCACCTGCCTCTGAAGGGTCTGTGCTCTGTGCACAGACCTGACACAGACACACACACAGACAGACACACACACACATAAAACGTGCGCAGGTAAGGACAGGGCAGCCGGAGCGACTCCCTTCAGATTCAACACGCATGATCACGTTCCTCAAATTTGCCTAAACTAAGCATTCTAAAGTATGGCTGTATTTCACAAGGATTCTGACACAACAACGCAAAGCATACACTTTACAAAAGTTGAGTTTAAGGAGGAAACAAGTTAAACTTAATGACACATTTGACATTTGATGCTGAAAGGCTTTGGAATAGGCTGTCTTTGACAGCTCGCGACTTCATCTTACACATTCTGAGTACAGTTACATAAGACATCAATCCTCCGATTTTAATATAATTAAGATATTACTCTTATTAAGAGACTACCATGTAAGCAGCTATTTTTGATTACCTTGAAGGACCACCGAGTCACGAAATGCGGAGGTTTTTCTTTCATTTCCCCATGCGGTATCAAATTCCATTAAAACAGAAGTCGAAAGTTAAAAATGAAACACCCAAAATTGCATGAAACTCTGGAGAGCCTGGTGATGCAACATTAATTGTTTTATGCTGACACTTGCCTTCAAAAAGTGCTTCCTTGGTCTTATCCATATTTCTTTGCACGTCAAAAAACACGTTGACCACAACAGGAAGTAAAAAAACAAACAAACTGCAACTCCATTAATTATGTTAATTTTTTAAAACGTTTTAATTAATTCAAATTAATTGCATGCATTAACGCACTAATTTGGACAGCACAATTTTTTTTATATAATTATTATTTTTTTAATAATTGTTTGGGTCAATAAAGCAACTTTTACAAAAGCTTTTCTCTGTCTTGTTTTTTCTGTCTGGGAGACAGTAAGAAGTCCCTTTAGCATTTAGACATTTTAGTGTATTTATGCTTTTGCTGTTGTATGTGAGACTCTGTCTAATGACAATTTTCTAACCCCTGTAGGATAGACAATAAAGTTTATGGAATTTAATAATATATTTAATTTCAAACAAAGATTGCAAAAAAAAAAAACTTTTAATCATTCATTCCTTCATTCATTTTCTTGTCAGCTTAGTCCCTTTACTAATCTGGGGTCGCCACAGCGGAATGAACCGCCAACTTATCCAGCACGTTTTTACGCAGCGGATGCCCTTCCAGCCGCAACCCATCTCTGGGAAACATCCACACACACACACACACACACACTCATACACTACAGACAATTTAGCCTACCCAATTCACCTGTACCGCATGTCTTTAGACTGTGGGGGAAACCGAAGCACCTGGAGGAAACCCACGCAAATGCAGGGTGAACATGCAAACTCTACACAGAAACACCAACTAAGCCGAGGTTCGACCCAGCGACCTTCTTGCTGTGAGGCGACAGCACTACTCACTGCGCCACTGCGTCGTCCACAAACCTTTAATTTAATGTATTCTTAGCTTCTCTTAATGTTTACTCTTTTTTTTTTTTATGTAAAAAGTTTTTGTAGCACATTAGTTTGTGTGTAATAAATTTTGGACTTTAATTGGATTTTTTTTTATTATTAATTTAGTTTCAGTTTTGTCTTTTAGTACTGACTTCTAAACGGGTACTAATGTATACACATCAATATAATATTGCGTGAAACCTATAGAAAATATTAATTTAAAAGAGATATTGGTGAGGGCTGTATGTATCATTTATGTTGAGCACTGTAAACACTCACTGATTAGTCTCAGTAACTCTCTCCTGTTGTTTCCAGGGTGGGATGGCGATGGGCATGCAGACCCCTGGGATGCAGTTCATGGGTCAGCCTCAGTTCATGGGCATGAGGGCCCCGGGGCCGCAGTTCCCTGCAGACATACAGAAGCAGATGGCAGAGGAGCATCAGTAAGACTGTTTGGATTTATGCTGCCAGAAAGTTGTCTGTGCACCAGACCTGGTCTCTGATCAGTGTGTGTGTTTGTGTGTCTGTCTCCAGAAAACGACTGGAGCAACAGCAGCGGATGCTGGAGGAGGACAGGAAGAGGAGACAGTTTGAAGAACAGAAACAGAAGCTACGTCTACTCAGCAGCGTCAAACCCAAGGTGAGGAAGTCTGCAGGACAATAAAATGAACGTATTAACTTTCTAAATAAGGGATGTCCAGTGCTGCTCTCAGAAGGCTACTACAAAGTTTACCACCAGGAAGCCTAAATACTTAGAAGGAAATTTCTAGTGAGTCTGAAGACTTAGATTTTCCTTGGATCAGGTGTTTAAGTACGGTTAAATTTAGTTTCTGCAGGTCAGAGGATTTTCAGGATTCCCCTGCTCTAAACTTGAGTCCTGTTGTGATTTATTGAATAACTGTCTGACATTAATAATATAACTGATGACACTTTACAGTTATGTCCCATCAGTTAACATGAATACATTTTCAAACATGAATTTACAATGAGTAATGCTGTTGTTTGAGTCTTTATTTATCTTTTTATTTAAGTTAATACAAGTACAAGTTTCTAATATCATCTCATGTTTGTTAAATAATATTAACTGATACAACATTTGAATTTAATAATGATTGGTAATTGCTTGAAATAACGTTAAGATTAACAAATAATTCAGATCTGTGTAACTAATAATAGGGAATGAAACATTGTTAAATATCTTTTGTTGTGCACTTTGTTCCAATCATGAGTTGCCAAATAATGCATTTATATACTTTTTTGATATACATGTCTATATTTTCATGATTTCATGTTTATTTTAATAATAGTATATAAAAGTTTATTATATGAATATTAGGGGTGCAATGGTTCTCAGTAAAAAAAAAAAACGTATCGTCCCGTTGTTCTCCTAGGTTTTGGTGTGTTTTGAGATCCTGCGGTTCAGAATATGCATTATTAATATTGGTTTGTTGATAAAAACAAGTGCAACAAAGCAGTTCCGCAAGTGCGAAGACCCGTCCATTCACCTCTTAGTATGTAGCATCATGTTTCCTTATAACCTGTCGGTGTGTGCTTGTGGAGTTTCTGTTTGTTTCAGCACGACAAGTGAAGGAAATAAAGTGCAAGTGAGGCTAAATCACAGCGCATTGCTGTCAGTGTTTCAACAGACATTCAATATAAAGTCAGACAGACATAAAAAATAACGAATGCTGTTTTTTGTTGTTGTTGCAAAGATAGCCTAGATTAGTGGTCACTAACAGACGGATCAAGGTCCGTGTCCGTTCCCAGAAGCGTCCCATACTGATGCGCACATACATTTGCTTCAGGGTGTTCTTCCGCACCCGATCGCTCCCGCTATTCACTCTGTTTGCCCGCTGTCTGCTAAGAACAGTTTTCTTCTCGACTGACTGTTTCCGCTGAATTAAGAGAGAAGAGTCAAGGTTATTCACTACAATGGTGCTAAGTGAAATGGAGTTCTCTGGAGTCATAATTAAATAATTTAGAAATCAAAAATAAATATATTTATTGTTCTTTGAGTTGTTCTGTAAGCATTTTTTTTCTTAGCATAGTACAAACCATACTGTACCAAAGTCGTGACCTTAATACCATGATACATACCGAACTGTGAGTTGATTGAACCGTTGCACCTCTAATGAATTTGGTATTTATTGTGGTATTTATTGTAAAAATAACCACGGTATTATAGTTAGCTAGTATATTATTATAAGACCAACATCATAAAAGTGAAATAAATAAATAGAAAACAAAGGGATAGTTCACCCAAAATAAAAAATTATGTCATCATTTATTCACCCTTTACTTGTTTCCAACCTCTTGACTTATTTCTGTTGAGCAAAAAAGATATTTTGAAGAAAGCTGAAAACCTTTAACCATTGAGTTCCATATTATAGTATAGTATAGTATAGTATAGTATAGTATAGTATAGTATAGTATAGTATAGTATAGTATAGTACATATAATATTTGTTTTTCTTACTATAGATATCAATGGTTACAAATATAAAGAAACTTATAAAGGTTTGGAACTACTTGAGGATGAGAAAATACTGAAACAATATGTATTTTTGGGAGAACTGTTCCTTTTTATATATTTATATAAAGACAATATTTAGGACTTACATTTAGTTTAACTTAAAGCTAAAAACTAATGATAAAAATATATTTATATATATATATATATATATATATATATATATTTTTTTTTTAATAATATACATTTTTATACTTTTAAATCAGATAATAAAAGATATATAACTACAATATAAACTAAAATGAAAGTCTTAGCTGAAAATATAAAAACTTATTCAAACTTAAAAAAAACAACAACAACAGTAGATACTATAATATTAATATTAGAATAACACTGATATTCAGTAGATTACTGTCTTGCTTTATACTAATGCTCATGCTGCAGCTTCTCCAGACTCAAAACTGCTATTTTTGTCCAGACTGGGGAGAAGAGTCGTGACGATGCCTTAGAGGCCATCAAAGGCAATCTGGATGGGTTCAGCAGGGATGCCAAGATGCATCCAACACCATCTTCACAGTCCAAGAAACCAGGTACATCCAGTGACATCCAGCTGCCTGACAGCCCTCAGGCTGTTTGCATTTAAAGGTCCTGCTCATGACATCAAGGCCCAGACACATTTTGACAAGGCCATGGTGGCTGTCAAGAGCTTAAGGACCTAACCAGGGATACACTTACACAAGGCTACAAAGGGATAGTTCACTCAAAAAACACTTTTATCATTCACTCGCTCTTTGTTCTTTTACAATACATGACATTGTTTTCCGGTGGAACACAAAAGGTGGATTGTAAAGGTGGATTTTAAAGAACTCCACTGGATGCTGCTCAGGGCGAGTGAAAGATGATAGTATTGTGATATGTGGGTGAACTGTTCTTTTAAAGTGTTACTGTTATTTCAAACACACTGTTCAGCCAAACAGCTGTTTTTTCCCCAGCAGCCACAAGGAGGCCCTCCAGATGTTTGCACTTAATTTCATCCTTCATAAAATGCATTATTCTTCAGCTTTACATTCTAGCTATTTCACCCCTCATACTTGTAGATTTTTTTTATTTGATGGGATTTTTATTACTCCCAATGTTTATAGTCAACTTCTGTAACTGTGTTTGTGGTATTATTTAGAAAGACAATTAGTTGTGAGGGTCCAAAATTAACATAACAAGTCAGTAAAATTGTGCAATTTTTAAAAAGTTTTTTTAAATAAACATATTGGGGAAAATATTTTATTACAATTATTTTACAATGTATATTTTCTGTTTAAGTGTATTTTGCATTTCTTTATTCCCATTGTAATTTTTTTTAGCATTATTGGACCGATCTTCGATCACATGATCCTTCACAAATCATTTTAGCATGATGATTTCAAGTAACCCTTTTCAAGAAACATTTTACAATATTGTCTTTAATGAAAACAGCTGTGCTGCTTATTGTTTTGTAGAAAAAAATTGTTTAGGATGAATATATATCGCTTTTACACTGTAACAAAAATATAAATAATATAAATAGAATAGAAATAACAATAATCTAAAACGTTTTACTGTCATATTTAATCAATTTTAAAGGATAGTTCACCCAAAAATTTAAATTTACTCATTTATTTATTTCAAACCTTTATCAGTTTCTTCTGTTGAACACAAAATAAGATATTTCAAAGAATGTTGTAAACCTATAACAATTTACTTACATAGGATTTGTTTTTCTTACTTTGGATGTCTATAGCTATGTTTCCATCCACCTAGTTTTATGCACATTTTGGATATGCGCATAAAACAACGATTGATGGAAACAGCAAAATGTGCATCAATTTTTAAAATTGCAGTTACGTATGCGCATAACTGAGTAGGACTAGGATAAACCTTTTATTCAATAATAAAAGATGTGCATGAACTACGATGGAAACACTTTTACCAAACAAAATCCAGTATGAGCATTAAAGGTCATGTGACTGTTATAAGAGATCATGTTACGATAAATATATGTGTGAATGGACAAATCAGCAGGCTGAGCACATTGTAAAACATCTGAAATGAACTGTTTCAGTGTTAGTGTTCATAGATTATTAATTACCTTCAGAACTGTCAAGAGCGTCTTACGCCTTCAAACGCCACCACATGTTCAGTGCTTGTTGGCATACTGTCTTCTGAGGCGCAAGTCATTTATTAAATAAAGAAAAGATTCATGCAGCTTTTCCTACCGCAGCAAATTCAGTTTTTACTTTTAATATTTGGCGCCATTTAATCAGGAAGTGACGATTTTGTTCTCTTTGACTCATTGGATATAAATGCTGCTTTATTCGCAGTTTTGCACATAAATTGAATTTGCATCTTTATATGGAAGCAGCTAATGGTTACATGTTTTCAGCTTTCTTCAAAACCTCTTCTTTTGTGTTCTACAGAAGTAATAAACCTATTTGGGAGGTTTGGGACCATTATAGGGTGAATAACAAGTGAATAATTTCTCATTTTTGAGCAAACTATCGCTTTAATTTTTTCTTATTAAATGAATGTTTAACATTATCCATTAGATTGGCTGGCTTACATGAATAAGTTGACCGATATAAAATAAGTGCCAAGAAAATCAAGTCAATTTTTTGCTTTAATTTTTACCTTGCTTCTAGTTGTTTACACATTTCCCAAATTCTTTTACTACATTTTAATTTCCAGTTGACTTTTTTTTTTTTATCTGAAGGCTGAGTTTTGGTGCGTCGGCCCCTATTGAAATTCAGCACCCGACTGTTTTTGTCTGTGAAACTGTTTCTCATTTTTTCAGTCCGTCTGTGTGTGGTCATAACTCACGATGTGCGTTGTTGTGTCTGTCTCACTCTCTCGTTTGGTTTTTGCAGACTCATCGCCATCTCATTCCTCTGTCACCTCTCACTCCCTTCCTCCTGCTTTCCCCGACGACGACGACGAGTTTAGTGACTTTGTGCAGGGCCCCGTCGATGCCTTCTCCTCATTCCCCTCTCCCCCCCACCCTCCATCCTCCCCTTCACTAAGAGCCGCTCATGCTAACCAGCCATTAGAGACGGGGCCTGGCCAACATCCGTCCTCCACTCTCCCTCACTCTGTCCCTTCATCTCTCCCTGTCTCACCTGCCATCCAACACTCTTCTGTCATCTCCAGCTCACAATCTGCATTCCAAGGTAACTCCCCTCTCACTGTCTCTGTCTGTCTTTCTGTCATATCATCACTTGTTGTTATAGTGTGCAAAACAAATGGGCCTTCATTGTAGTCCATTCAAAAGCAGTAGTAACATACACAATTGTTTCAAAGTTTGGGGTCATTTTTTGGCTGTTTTTATTTTATTTTATTTTTTAGAGTTAGTCACATTATAAATGTTATTTTGATGCCTTTTAATGCATAATTGCTTTATAAATGTAAATGTACCGACTCATTTTTAAATGTTTAAAAGCATATGTAAAATGTTTTTCAAGGTCATACACCACAGACTAATATAATATGCAGAAATAGAAAGCTGACAACCTTTAAAGGGCACCAATGATGGAAATCATCTTTTGTAAGCTGTTTGGACAGAACTGTGTGTAGGTATACTGTGTCCAAGATTTTGGGCTAATATAAAGACAATAAGTCTCTTTTTTTTCCCTGACGTTGAAATAGGATCACTCCCATTTTGAGGCCGACCGCAACATGACATAGGACTGCGGTTTACCCACCCACCGAATTGATTAACAGCTGCGTATTAACATGCCTCCGTTGTAATGGGTATAATCACATCAACAAGATAGGACGTGTGCAAAGCAACTGGGATTAAAAGATCAGAATAGCATCTACTGTGCCTAAATTCGGGCGATTCTGCCTCGCCTCACTGACTGAACATTTGCTTGCACCGCTTGTTGTAGGAATGCAAAAGATTCTCCCCGCAAGTTATGCAGACTTGGAAATACGCGATCTTGTTTCTCCCAGAACGATAGCAGATTTTCTTCTGATGACTCCTCCAACTGAAAGTTTGAACAGTACTCTTGCGCTTCGTCCATTATTTTGGGCGTCTCATCTTCCTGTTCTGCAAAGCCCACTCTCGGCTTTTTCGCGGGTCCACTGCCATGTCCCGCTACATCCACCCATGACCCACCTGCAATTAATCATATTGTATTTTTTTATTCCCGACCCTCGGATTATCCTCAGGGCCCGTGGATATAACTGACATTTTTTATTTTTGCCGAAATGACAGTACTTAATATTGTACTAGATATTTTCAAGATACTAGTATTCAGCTGAAGTGCCATTCAAGGGCTTAACTTGGTTAATTAGGCAAGTTATTGTATAACAGTAGTTTGTTCTGTAGACATTAATAAAAATTGCTTATAAGGGCTAATAATATTGTATTAGGTATAGGGCTAATAATAAAATGTTTAATATCTTAAAATGGTTTTAAAAAATTAAAAACTTTTTATTCTCGCCTAAATAAAACAAATACGTTTTTCCAGAAGAAAAAATTGTTTAGAAAAGGTTCCTTGCTCTTTTAAACATAATTTGGGAAATGTTTGAAAAAGAAAAAGAAAATCATATGGGCCAGCGAATAATCCACAGGAGGGTCTCTTTTTTTTTTCTTAAATCTATTTAGCCGGACAAAATCTCAGTGTACACCTGTCCTTCATCTTCTAGTATGTTTTATTTAGCCATAACAACTGCCTGATTTTACATTATCCCTTACATAGATTACAGTAGTGCTTCTACTGTAGTTTTTGGTGTGCACATGACTGATCATATTTATTGTTGATGTTTTTCAATTTTGGTGGGTTGGAGAAATGGGGATTTTTAAAATCACCTTTCCTTTCAAATAACTTACCACAAGTTCTTGTACATAACAATGAGTCACATTTACAGCTGATTTAAAGCTATACTTTACACAAAAATGAAACTATACTCATCTTTGTGTTGTTGAACACAAATGACGGTGTTAAGAATTCTTAGTAACTTGTAGCCATTCACCCCTACATTACAATACTAATATAGTAACAATTCTATTGATATGAGTGGCTATTGGTTACAAGCATTTATCAAAATATCATTTTCTTTGTTCAACTGAACTTTTTGGGCCTGTTGCCAGCCAAGCAACTTTCACTCATGAAACAAAATTTACATTTTGAAAACATTTAAAAAAAAAATGTGCCCATAAACACTAGCTTGCTGTGTGTTCTTGATGTAGAGTCAAAAGTCTGCCGAGGTTTCTGATTCAGATATGACGGTCGCCATCTGTGAGATTTGCACAGTGATTCTGACTCAGCCGTCACCCTCCACCTCCCTTCAGTTTTGTCAGGTTGCAGATGGTGTCCCATATGCTCTTATAATTTAAGCTGGCGTTCTATCAGCACACCAGCACATGCGCTCTATGCCGATTGTGACAGCGCTCTGATAAGCAGCTCAGAGTCAAGTCTGCATGGATGTGTATGTTTGATAGACTTTAACCATTTAAGACAAGTTCAACTTTATTGGTAGAATTTATGCCATCATATCTACTAAAACATAATTCTATTTGAACAAGAACTTAGAGACGATGTTCTCCTTGGGACAATTACCACTGTCTATTACTTAGTATATTTTCTATTGTTGCACACTTTCACTAGTGTGAGTAAAATTAAGGGCATTTGTAAAACATTTGTCGGCCAATTGTACTGTATCTTCCGTAAATGTTTACTATTACTCATCAGGCTCTGTGAAAGCAGTCAGTGATTAAAATAGTCAATTGTAAAAGTGAATTTATGGTTGTAATTAAGTTGAATTCCTAATTGCGTCACTGCTTGTTTACCTCTCTGAGGGATTTTATCAAGAAAAGTGGTTTAGTCACAGTGGGTCACTGACTCTATTAACCTATAACCTGCCCTGTTGTTCCATATAAAGGGTGCATCATATTCCAAATAGAACATTTAGTTAACTCTGACAGAACAGGTTCACAGTCAGCAGTCTGCTTGCCTTAAGTAAACTGCATGAACTGCATGACTTGACTCACTGTTTGTTCCGACGGAACATCTTGCCAATGATAAAATGCAATAGTTAAATGTTAATGTTAATAATTAAATGTTATGCAAATTGGTTCAATTGCCTGTTATGAGTTGGGCTTAGTTTTTGTTTCCAGTGTAGCACAAAGATCAGCACATGGATTCAAAAGAATACGCCTAAAATTGTGGCAGTGAATGCAAGAACATACAGTTACTCCACTTCATATATTATCTATTAGTGTTGCACGATACCAAAATTTCTACTTTGATACGATACCTAAATTAAATATCACTATACCGATACTAAACCGATACTTCACCATAATTTTTCTTTCAAAATGTTATCCATTAATAAACACTCAGTGTTTGCTGTCAGCTTAAACAGAGCAAAACCATTTTTAAAAAGTAAAACAAATATAGAAATAAAAACTAATGTTGTTAGCACTCCTTCCGAGCTGTTTTAACATAAATAAATAGTTGCAGGTTTATTTAAAAAACTTTAGACAAAAGTGCACATAACTTATTTTGGTCTGGTTCTCAAAAAACCTGAAGATGTGGATTGGTCCTCACTGTTTATGACACAGTGATCCCGTCATATTAAATGACGTGTACGGGGTAAATGACATAACGTGCATTTTTAGCTGTCCATGGTGTCATCTACTAATAAAAATGGGTATTTCTTAAAAAGATATACATTTATGTTGTTCCTCTGACAATATATTATTACAGCATCCCATAGCTTTAGATGATGTTTACAGATCTATACTTTGATTTTTGTCATGTGGTGTGACTGTCTGAGTTAAGTGACCATACTGATATGAGAATATATCTCTGCATATCACATTTGTTGTGACATCATTTACACACAGTCTCATAAAAATGGATCTGCACAAAAACAAAATGTTAACTCTTATTGTAAAGATCTATGTTGAAGTACCATACCTATTGACGAGCACTTGCAACTACTGCTGTCACTCAAAAGTACCAGTACCAAAAAATGCGGAATCATATCACTTTGAGAGCCATGGTATCGTGATACTTTTTTTGTATTGGTATATCGTGCAACACTACTATCAATATTGGTGTACTTCCAATGTCTCTACCTTGGTTTAAATGCATTTACATTAGAAGTGCATTGTACAAGTTTGCATAAACTGTATTCCAGATGACCCTTTTTGATGGACTCTGGTAAAGTTTGCAGGTGCACACAAGTAAAAAAAAAAAAAAAAAAGTTTTTTAAATTATTTAAGCTAAATTCTGATGTTAAATGTGCTTAGATTCACAACAAAAGGGATAATTTGAAATCCTCTATGAATACAAAACATTGTTTACTTTTATTATGTAAAATCTTTTGGATTTGGATGCTTTAAATGCACTAGGTTCTGGAACCAAGTTATTATCTTATACCTACACACAATTAAAGTTGTTACTTCCAAAAAAGAAAACCTAAATTCAATATGGCCTCTGTCCCAAACTGATTCAGGCCCATCTCTGGAGGAAAAGATGTTCTCATCATGTGATTTGACAGCAGATAAGAAGGCCCAGGTTAGTTTTAAGCCTCGACAGGCTCTGTCTGAACTGAATCCCAGAGCTCAGGTCACAGCCCAGTTTCACAGCAGCACCAAAGCCCGAAACTGGGCCCAAACCCAAGATGACTTCCATTCAGCCTTCATGACAGGGATGGCACCTGAGCCTCTTCCTGCAACACAAGCACCCCCAGTGGCAGACAACCCACCCATCCAGCCCACTAGAGCCAGTGGTGAGAAAAAAACATCTATGATTTTAAAGATCTGGCAGCTTCTCAAAATTAACACAACTCGCACCTCGAGTCTTCCTGGCTTCTCTCTATTAGCTAATCATGAGACATGCTTGGTTTAGAGGGTCTGATCTCCTGTCTCTTAAAAATCTTACTGAAATCTAAATTTGATGATTATACCTAACAACTGTTATTGAATTTCCAATTAAACAAATCTTTTCTCTTTCTGCAGCTGTCTGTGCTAATGCAAAGTCAAGTCATTAACCAGAAGAAAATGCATGAGCTTAGATGCATTATCCTTGACGATGATGTGCTCTTGAGCATGAAATATAAACCATATAATAAGATGGTTACATAGACTTGTGAAGATCTGTACTGGATGAAGAAATGCTTAGTTAAGATCTTCTATCTGTCATCTCTAAAGTACTCCATTTGTCATTTGACTGATTGTGCATGGGATTTAAATCGTATGGGATTTTACACCTTTATGCTGGGCTTGTTCTCTTAACGCAGGGTGCTCTTTAAATTCTTCCACTTCAATGTACATTTTCTTATCTGCACTATTTATTTTGAGTTTCTCTGCAATGATGTTTTTGGGTTACAGGTATACCTGTTTGGTTAGTCCTGAAGGGCCACCTTCATGAAAAGTTTAGACCACTACACAACTACCTGTATATTTCTTTTAGCTTTAAAGCAGGAGTGCCCAAACTCAGTCTAGGAGGGCCAGTGTCCTGCAGAGTTTAGCTCCAACTTGCTTCAACACAAATCCAGGAAGGTTCTAGTACACCTTAGGCTGCTTCTTAATTCCAAGAGCACACGGAACGGACTGATGTTTTTCTGTAGAACTTTCTTGCCAACTGACCTTGGAAGAATGAAATCGTGAGACTGCGAGAACACGTCCTGTGAGAAATGAGATTCCTAATGTTCACGTGACTTTTACGAATTTTTAACGGAAAATTACTCAAACATTACAACATTAATACAAGATCAATGATTAATACAATTTATGGATTTATTAAGATTTTCATGTTAATGTTTATAGTCACCATCCTGACATAATCAAGTTATATCTCTGAATTTTAATAATAATGCTATGCTTTCCACCTCCTTTATTCAACTGCAATGACTTCTGGGACTTCTAGAGCGAGTACTGTGCTCAAGTCTGTATAGATGCATCCTCGATATTAAGGACACATTCTGGTTCTGTTGCGTGTCATCTGTTCTTGCAGTCTTGAGTATTGGAGCTGAACTTTGGCAGGTGATGATGATGTTACTTGACAACACAAGGACGCAAGATTGCTTTAAGAACTCATATTGAGAAATAGCCCTAGTAAGAGCTTGATTAGCTGGTTCAGGTTTGTCCAATTGGGGCACCAGCCCTCCAGGACCGAATTTAGGCACACCTGCTCTAAAGACTTTGATTAGCTTGTTCAGTTGGGTTTGATTAGGATTGGAGCTAAACTAGGTGGACCCCCAGGATCGGTATTAGACATGCCTTGTTTTGCCTGTCAACTGAGCCCACTGTTGTTGTTGTTAACATAGAGACCTGTTGCATAATTCACCACTGATGATGCTTAGTTAGAGGTTTAATGACCGTAGCCTCATTTCAACTGTTTGCCTAATTTACTTCACCACAGGGCCCAGAAATTTAGCACTCATCCACGTTGGCAATGCAAATAATGAAAGCCTTGAATACAAAGCAAAGCTCTCTTCTCCATATGTTCTGTCAATCTGTTTGTCGTGCAAACCCACCAACTTTCGGCTCAAGGCAACTGAGCTGACGACTGAAGCAGTAGGAGTCTTTAGTCTGTCTGTGCGTCAGTAGTACATCCGTGCTGGGCTTTGCCGACAGCAGGTGTGGGGGACGTCTGACTGTGCATGAGGCACATGGGATATATGCCTGATCTAGCACTTTTAGCTTAAAACTCCACAAACAACATCTCACTTTCTCAATTCTCACAGGTGTGGGTGCCTACCCCCAACAAGACATGCAACCCATGGTGCCAACCTGGTTGTACAATGACTCGCTCATTCCAGGTATATATTTTCAATATCTGGTTCTGCAGGGTGGGTTTTATGTCTCAGGATCTAATGTCAAGTGTTTGTACTTCACAGAGTTATTCAAGAAGGTTCTTGAGTTCACCATGACACCAGCAGGCATTGACACAGCCAAACTCTATCCAATTTTGATCTCCTCTGGTCTTCCTCGGGAAGCACTCGGGCAGATTTGGGCATTGGCCAACCGTACCACACCTGGCAAGCTGACCAAGGAAGAGCTGTACACTGTACTGGCCTTAATTGGAGTCGCCCAGGTAAAAACTACAGAATGTCAACATGTTCAAATAATTTTACACCTTAACTAGTCAGTCCCTCCATATTTTTGTGACTAAAATGAATTTTGCTCATGCATTTATTTTGCTGTGAAAATAAACACAAAAATTACACATCATAATTCTTTATTCATTTTTGGCCCTCAAGAACCATTGATCCCTGTACTTTCTATAAAGGAAACACAGAGAGAGACAAGACTTTACCCCTAAAGCCTGTTGTGCCATATTTGAAAATTAAACCAACTGTATGAAAAGACATCCATGTTTGATGGCTACCTGGCTACATTTAAAAAAATTATCTCCACAAAATTTTGTAACAATTGCTTCATTTTGCGCTAAATTTAACAATCATGGAATTGCAAAATTATGGTGGATCTTGAGGCCAAAATGTGCGGAGGTCTCCTTAACTTTCTTTTCTATCCGTTGCACCGAGAGTCCCATGAGTGCATACTGTAGCTCTTTAAACAACTCATGGGACCCTTTCGGTAATAATTCATTTGTGATGCAAATTTAAAAGCTTAATGAGGAGCCCATCCTCCAGCGCTTTGGTTTTGTAGAGCAATAAAGAAAAGAAAAACTCTGGAGGATGCCAGCAGTGGCATTGAAAATGGAAGTTGACTTTAATGAATATTTCAGGAAAACAAATCAGATGGCCTCTTGGCGAAGGAGAAACAGTCATCTGGAAGGAGAAGGAGTTCTATTGTCTGACAGCATTGCTTTTTAATTTTGGCTCCCTGATGAAGGACGTGCCATAAATTCAGTGTTCCTGCACGAAGCATGTTAAAGTGCTCTTGTCTAATAGCTCACTAAATCATTGTTATGTGTACAGAGAATATCTGCTTTAATCGAGTGTCTTGTGTTTATAGCAGTGCCTCAGCCTAACGACTCTCAGTAATCAGCGTTTATCAGTCTGTTCTCAAACATCTGTGTTACTTGTTATCATTGATGTTATCATGCTGCTTTAATGCTTCTCTTTATAGAGTGTTTAATAGTTTGGTTTATAAGATGAATGTGGTTTTTAGCTGGGCAACCCTAGAAAGCTGTTTTGCTGAATTGGGTACCAGTTCCAGTTTAACCCACCTGTCTGTCTACCTTTGAAAAGTAACCTTAAACATCTTCATTAGCTTATTAAGGTGCAATTAATTTGGGTCGATGGTGCACAGGATGTCCACCCCAATGCTGTGTTCACACCAGACGCGGAAGGAGCGTCAAGCGCGACTGATTTTCATGTTAAGTCAATGCAAATGCGCAAATAGACATCCTGCAACGCGAATGGCGTGACTCGAATGGTGCGGTGCAAATGGCGCATAAACCAATCAGGTGCTTGCTCTTGTGGGGGCGTGATTGTGACCTAGCACCTGTTGTTGGTGTCTCGGGGGAGATCCTCCAGCTGACACCGACAACCAAGTTCATCAAACTGGGCTGGGCTCTGTCAGAAGCCCCGCTGAATGCCTCCATCCAGGTAAAGTTTCTGGAGGAGTTTATGAGCTCACAGAGCTGGATGCACCTCTGAAAAGATCCAGTGGACTCAGACATGGCCCTAAACATATCGACGCTGTTTTTCTGCCTTCATGAAGCACATAAAAACTGTAATTTTCTTCATAAAATTCATTTTGGCCATTTAGCATCGAAGCTAGAGTCACTGGGCAGACAGAAGCCCTGCCCATCAGGCAAATTCGCGTGTGTTCTTAAGTGAATTTGACACATAAATGATTTATCCGTAATGATTTATTGTTCTGCGTCTGGTGTGAACACAGCTTTGGGGTGGGCCACCTTGCAGATCACCAACAACATTTACTTATTTAGAATGTAATTCAGTAATTTAATCTTTGCCATCTTCACTTATCGGTCAAACGTTCACATTTTGTTTGAGATTGCAGGTGTTCCATAGACTAATTAGTTGGGGTCTTTTGTTCCATAATTGCATATTACTAATGCATGAAAAAAGCAAAAATAATTCAAGGATGAACTACCTAAAATCATGTTTATATACCTAACTTTTCCTCACAGAGTAGTAAAAAAACAGTCCACCTTTGTTTTCATCTATGGGTCTTTGTGCCTGCATTGTTACTTGCATGAAAACTAAAAATAAGTGAAGTGTCATAAACTAATTTAGAGAGGAGCACATGGTATGATTGAGCACAGCTGGATTCTCATCTCTAAACAGTAACAATCCAATCAGATCGATCCAAGCTTACAGTAAATTGACCGATTTTACTCTACTGCCTTATCTTCATTTTGAAAGAAACCCCCTTCCATCCTATCTCCTCCTTTTCTTCCCATTTCTAAGGGGAGCTCTAGAGATCTACAGTACCTGATCTCGGACCCCTTCACATGCTTTTTGACTAGGCGGGAGGCTTGGGCTCAATTATCTCCATGCTCAGGGTTCTCTCCTGGGACAGCATGCCAAACCTGCTATTAACATCATGCATATTTAAGTTTGAACTCTTGAATTGTTATTTTTATCAAACATTTCCATTGCTCATTCCAGCACTGACTTTTATGTATTTAGCCTAACTTTTTTGTTGAATGCACTTCTTATTCAGTGTTGTTGCCGTATTAAGTTTGGCAAAGGTTTACTTCATAGCCTATGTTCAGTTTGGCCAAATACTAATAGTAGGAGGAGAGTAGATGACCTTTGTGACTGTTTGAACACACATGAGTGTTTACACTACAAAAGCAGTCAAATAAGTTTTCAGCTTCCTCGGAAGGTGCTTGATAGTGGGAATCTTGAAAGTATTGGTGAAAATGTTAATACCAGGTATAATTGAGGCCTAAGAAAATGGCTGCGCCCGAAATCACCTACTTCTCAGTAGGTACTGCATTTAAATTTAAACGGCCGTTGAAATACAGTATGAATGTCAGTATAGTAGTATGAAACTCAGTAGAAACTTGGATGTACTACATTTGCCATTTTGTCATCATCAAGTGACCTACCCTGGTCTGTTGTGTTGCTTTACTCCCATTTATGAATTCTCTTGCTGATGTGCACTTCTCGTTGTACGTAGTAAGTCATCTGGATACTTCTCACATACTGTTTATCAAATTCTATAAATTTGGACATACTGCTTGGCTCGCATACTGTTTTTAGGGTAATATATAGTACTGTGATTTTGGATGCAACTAATGTGTCTGAGTGGGCATTGTCGAACTCGAAAATAATACTTTTAAATCTAAAGTTTGTTCTGGGTTATATAGAAAATATAATGTGGTTGTGCTTTCTAGAGCGGTCTTACAGTCATGAGTTTGGACATCCTGAGTCAGTTCCCATCCCCGCCGGTGCCCAATCTACCCGCCATGACTATGGCCATTCCTGCTGTCCTGCCACAGCACCAGCAGCCCATCATGACCCAGCCACCTGTGTCTATGCCAATGCCCACGGCTGCACCACCTGTCATGAGCATGACCCCAAACCCTCCAGCACAACCACCGGCCACCTTTATCACCAACTTTCCTCCTGTTCAGGTAAACACCAGACACTCTCTTCCACATAATGCACACTTTTATGGCTCAACATGATTTATTGTTCGTTTGACTTGCATCAGGCTACCAAGGCGGATGACGATGATTTCCAAGACTTCCAGGAAGCCCCTAAAGCTGGTGTTGGAGATGACTCATTCACAGATTTCCAAGGAGAGACAGGGGGAACGTTCCCCAGCATGACATCATCATCCCAGAGCAGGTACGGTGCCATATTTTATCTGGCTTCTCTCTTATCAGTCATGACATGTTGTCGTGTTCCCCTGGAAGCAATTTTTTTATACGTAATGCAAACTGCTCCGAGAAATGCATTGCAAAGCTGCGTCCTGTCATTTCTCATTAGTAGTTCATGATATTGTTTTTATGCTTTGTTAATTCTTATAGACTCGGTTTGCTCATCTGGAGCATGGAATCATTCTCCAGTTTGTAATGGCTTGTAATAACCAGCGCGGCACAACAATTAAAGCCAGACATCCTTTCTAATGAACCCATTTCAATGGACAGCTGATAAGCTCATCCCATTTCATTTTTCTATTCACATCTGCATGATTTTATGCTCCCAGGGAAAAGATGGCTAAAGGCAATTATGGAAAGCAGGGAGTGAGAGGTTGGAAAGTATATTCGCTAAGTGCCACAGCCTTCATTGCTTGATCTGCCTTACTAAGCACAAAGGATCCATTGTTTAAGAAGAATATTTGGGGACCTGAAAGTGTCTGATTGCGTGCTAATTAAATCAGTGTAAATAAAAAGTGGTGAGAATAATACCGGGTTTGAGGGTGAGAGCTGAGGTGTTCTCGTGCAGGGAACATGAGACAAGGGAAATATCTTTGTTTAGAGGAGTACTTGAGCTGAATTTTTCTGAAAATTGGAAAGTAGCTTGGGGTCAGTATGATTTTTCTTTGAAAGCATTAATAGTTAGCAAGCTGCAATATGCTGACTAAAGTGATAATAAAGACATTTATAATATTATATAATTAATCAATTAAATACTTTTCATTTGAACCTCAGCTTTTAATCATAGGAATAAATTCAACTTTTCAAATATAAAGAAGGATAAACATTTAATTTAAAATTGTATTAATAGTTCAGTGAATTTCTCTATTTAAAAATAAAATAATACAAATTTAATTCATTCATTTCCAAAAAAAACACAGACCACACTTGTTCAGTAATATGAAATACTGCAAAAATGAACTTGATATCACAGACAATGTTTCTCACGAACTACACTACCTGACAAAAGTCTTGTCATCGATTTCAGTTGTAAGAGCAACAAATAATAACTTGACTTCTAGTTGATCATTTGGAAAAGTGGCAGAAGGTAGATTTTTTTTCAATTAATCATGTTGAACTGCATCCCAATCATCACAAACACTGCAGAAGACCTATTTGAACCCCCATGGACCCAAGATTCTCAAAGAAATCAGTCCAGTTTGGTGAAGGAAAAATCATGATTTGGGTTATATTTAGTATGGGGGCATGCAAGAGATCTGAAGAGTGGATGGCAACATCAACAACCTGAGGTCTCAAGACATTTGTGCTGCCCATTACATTACAAACCATAGGAGAGGACAAATTCTTCAGCAGGATAGTGCTCCTTCTCATACTTTAGCTTCTACATCAAAGTTCCTGGAAGCAAAGAAGGTCAAGGTGCTCCAGGATTGGCCAGTCCAGTCACCAGAAATGTACATTTATAAGCATGTATGGGGTAAGATGAAGGAGAGGCACTGAAAATGAATTCAAAGAATCTTAATGATCTCTGGGAGTCCTGCAAGAATGCTATCTTTGTCATTCCAGATAAATTTATCAATAATTTATTTGAATCATTGCAGAGATGTAAGGATGCAGTCTTTCAAGCTCATGGGAGTCCTACACACAATTAATATTTACATTGCTCTATGAATTTATATTCTATACTGTACATTATTTCTGTTAAGTGACAAGCAATTCAGACCTTACTGTCCTAATTAAATAATTAAAAATGAAGGCATGATAATTTTATTTAGGTAAATAAGCTTAATCTAGAGACCTTTGCCTTTCAAATAAGACTCTTCTGATACCAATTGATCAACTTGAAGTCAAGTTATTATATGTTGTTCCTAAAACTTGCATAGGCAACAAAACTTTTGGCAGGTAGTGTATTGATATAGATTTGTATAGATATTAGTATCTAATTAAATCTATTTACTTCAAGAATGTATTTATTGTCATTTGAAATATAGCTTTAGTTTTTTTTTTGTTTTTGTTTTTTGTTTTTAACTCAGTTACAGTAAATCCTCATCGTGCTCATTTTATATCAGGGGTAGTATGCTAATCAGGGATGCAATCAGGGTCATGTGTTTAGTCTACATTTGAGAGCAACAAAGAAAAAAAAGTCTATTTCAAAACAAAATACAATGTTTTGGCTTGTATTTTCTCTTTATAAACCTTTTGTAGAATGTGAAAACACTTTGATCTGTTTGGATTAACTTGCGTATGTTTTGTATACTTCATACAGTGTTCCTGCCATGCTGACTCCAGTGTCGGGGTCTTCATCTTCCTCCTCTGATAAATATGCAGTGTTTAAACAGCTGTCGGTGGAGCAGCCTGCAGAACCCACGCCTGCTGTCTCGGGTAAAATACGCACACACGCACCCCTCTTCAACTCTAAACACCTCATTAGCCCTTTGAGGATGGCAGATCTTTTGGAAGACTGCTGTCATATTGGTTTAGCTTTAAAGACAGAATCTCTTGTCTAAACACATTTGAGATAAGACTCAGAATTACTGTGAGGCTAGCAAATGCTTTTTGCATAAATTTATCCTCCTATTTATCACCCTCATCCAACTCCTGCTATCGTTACAACAGTCTAGTTACAAAGCACACTTGAATGCTTCCACAGACAGGTATTATTTACTGTGTTTCTCTTTTGTTCCAGATTCAGGGGACAAATACAGTGTTTTCCGAGAGCTTGAGCCACCTTCAGAGCGAAAACCAGTTGGTAAGCAGATGCATGTCTGACACAGCTCACCATGTACAAAACCTAGATCTGGTTTTAGAAGATTATTAAAACAATTTCATCAGACTATAGTGTTTTTAGTTTAATAAACTAATAAACTGATGTAGGCATGTGTGCATGTCCCATGTGTCACTAGAGCAGAATCTGATGGGGACATCTCTGGGAGAGCCAGTAAGTTAGTAGTTGAAGTGAACTCTTCTCCAGTTCTGTTCTGAAACCTCTTTGACTTTGATTTGTTATATAAATCACAGCTGAAGTAGAAAAAGTTTTTCATCTGTGTGTGATTCTCTTCTAGTGGTTGATCGGAATGTTTTTTTCTATTGGCCTTTGTTGACATGGTATGGTTGATGGTGGCTGATATGTTGCTAATGATGTAAAACAGATTAGTGATTGCAAAATATGTTTTAAAACCTAATTCTATCATGACCAAAATATAACAACAAAAAAAGGTTTAACTCTATTCATAACAACTCTTGCCAAATTTTTGACATTTTAACATTAACCCTCCGAGGTCGCCAGATCACACCGGTGTGACCAGCATCTTTTTTTCTTATCAGTGCAAAAGACATTAAGAATACTCTTTATTTTGGTCACACAAATAAGTATTATTCAGTCTCTCTGTGAACTGTTTTTAGAAATGCGTTACTAAAATGAAATTAAACTTTAAAAAAAAAACTAGACACATAAACATGAGACATATATCTGTAGAAAGCTTGAAGTGTCTACCTAAATACACAAGCTTTTTTATTGCCATCTTCCACGTGAGACGCGCTCGACATGTAAACTGGCAGACATGTCAGAAAAAACTGTGGATATTTGCCTCTCATACATAAGAGACATACATCTTATGGGATCTAAAATCACCTCAGAACCCAGAGGGTTAAATTGTGTATATTTGTCAACTCAAGTTTTATAAGCCATAACATAGACTTGAGTTCATAATGTCTAATGTGATTTTTTTCTTCTTCTTCTGCAGATTAAACTGCTTATGTTCAACCATGCTTGTTTCTTTATTAGTCTAATGTGTAATTGAGGGTGCTTTCACTTTTGGTCCACGCCCGGTTTTGTTACTCTTAGCTATTGTGAACGCTGTCTTCTGAACTCGGGTGCGCACCCGTGAACTGTATCCAAGTCCACCTGAAAGAGGGGGTCTGGGGTATGGTTTGTGCAAACTCTGCATTCACATCAAACGTGAACCGTAAAAATCGTACCAAATAACGGAAGTGAACCCCCAACTGTACAACAAACTTTAGTTTTTATAACGTTCATTCGTGTGTGTTTGTCTCACATACCATAGTGACATGTGGGATTGACTCAGTGCAAACAGTGATAATGTCTGCTTGTTTCCACCAAAAACGACATCTGCAGACATCTCATTATGTTCTGAACATTTTTCATCTTTTTTTGCACCAGATAGACGCAAGTGGCTCTCTGTATTTTGGTCTTGATAACAAATCCAAAAGATTCAGTAAAAGCAGAACAACTGTGATATGCAGACGTCTCCATTTTGGCGCTTTGCTATCGTGGCTGTCATCTGGCAACAGCTGTACACAAAACAACAGCTTGATAATGCAAGGAACCCGGGATTCAGAAAGAAAAAAGGTGGTGTAAACACAAACCAGCTGGGGGGGGTGGGGGGGGACTATCAAACTTGGGTTCGGACCAGGCATTCAGACCAAGTGTGAAAGCACCCTGATTTAAAGCAGCTATGCCACCCAATATACATGATCTATATGATTATCAGCCTTAGGCTGTCAGACGATTTTGTAATTGACATGAGGTCACAAACATTGCTTATTGGCCATTTACATCAATCTGAAAACGGCCCCATATTATACATTCGTTGGTCAACTACTTTTTACTTCACCACAAGAAAAGAGTGTGTGTTTGTGTGCTGTGAAATCTTCAGTGAAAATCCCTTTGCCACTTTTTTAGTTCAATTCAGCTGTCAAACACATTTTGCATTGAGCATTACTAATTCATTTTTCTCTTTTAGGCCCATAAAAATGGAACGCTGGGTGACTTGTAGGCAGACTCTTTTTGTGCAGTGCCAGCTTTCTGTCCTTTGTTGTTTGGGTGTGAAATGTGGTTTGCTATGCCCTTCAATTGTTTTCTTTTTCAATTTTTCCACAGGGGAGGGATTTGCTGATTTCAAGTCTGTCAGTGCCGATGATGGCTTCACAGACTTTAAAACAGCCGACACCGTCTCTCCACTAGACCCACCAGACCAGGCCAAGTTTCAGCCAACCTTTCCTCCTCCTTTTGCTTCCTCTCAGTCCCTGTCCCATTCTCAGCCAGCCTCTCTGGCTCAACCTAGAAATCCTCTCAATATGGCAGACCTGGATCTCTTCACGACAATGGCTCCTCCCACGTCCACTGCAGACTCTAAACTCAACCTGTTCCCTTCCGCTCCTCCATCCTTGGTATTGCCCTCGGCAGTTGTGAAACCTCCCAGCATGGGGGGTGATGACTTTGGCGATTTTGCCCTTTTTGGCTCCTCCTCATCCTCCGAAGTAGCTCCCACCACCTCTGCTGCTGGTAGAGGAGCTAGCACAACGGTTCAGGATGACTTTGCTGACTTCATGGCATTTGGCAGCTCGAGAGATCAGAGAAGTGAGACCAGCTCAAGAGAAGGCAATAGCGAAGGCCAGACAGAGACATCCCAACAGAGGCACCAAATCGGTACTGATAAATACGACGTCTTCAAACAGCTTTCTCTAGAAGGTGGATTGGCCTACGATGATAACAAAGAAAGTGGTGGGGGCTCCTTTTCGTCACTCAAGAGTGACAATGACGACTTTGCGGATTTTCAGTCCTCCAAATTCTGTACGGCGCTGGGTGCGTCCGACAAGAGCCTGGTGGACAAAGTGGCTGCCTTCAAGCAGGCTAAAGAGGACTCCACCTCAGTGAAGTCTCTGGACCTCCCATCCATCGGGGGCAGCAGTGTGGGGAAGGAGGACTCTGAGGATGCACTTTCAGTACAGCTAGACATGAAGCTGTCGGACATGGGTGGAGACCTGAAGCATGTGATGTCTGATAGCTCCTTAGACCTCCCTGGTTTGTCGTCCCATCAACCCCCAGCCGCAGGTGAGGAATTAGTACGCTTGCTCTGGTGAAGTCTGTTCTTTATTTCGCAAATGCTCAGACCACTGAGGCCTCTCAAAGGCAGAACAAGATGCCCAGCTGGAACGCTGTATGTGTTCATTGTGGCTGAGTTGTAGTTACATATCAAAAACTTGATGCACATCATATCATGCAGTCATTTTCAAATCAAGTTATATACATTTCCAGTTTAATCATGCACAGTTGTAAGGCTACAGTATTTATTGTTGTTTATATTTATTTATTTATTTAATTAATTTAGGTTGTGTATTATGAATTTTTACCAGTCAAAACTTGTGCTTGTAAGTTTAAATCTCATGAGATTAATACTATTGCTAACAGCACAATAACTGGTATGATTAACTCCTAGTGTTATCAGGTGATCAGGCAGTTACAAAAGCACAGTTATATGCAGTATTCAATTCTAATAGCTCGTGACTTGGTTTTCTCTCCTGTTTTACGTATGTTTGTGTTGTTTTGATACCATTCCTCATTGACTATCCAGTTTTCCTTGCTTTTTTAAACATGTTAGTTTGCCTGTATGATAAATCAGCCATTTTAATTTACCAGTTTTTCAGTATTTACGCTCCATACTGACATTTTGGAACAGAAAAAATTTAAATCCATTCGTTCTGTTGTGATTGTAATATCATCATCATCTTCATCACTTGATGAACTATCAATCTAAGTGACAGTACAGTATCAAGAGAATGAAAATAGATTGGTCAATAATCAGAACCGAAAAGAAGTATGTGAACATTTTACACACAAAATTTGTAATTATTCTGATGCTGAATGAGATGCAACACAGAGGCATTATGCAATACCTTAAACGTGAATTTGAAAGCATTATTTTATTTAACACAATCCTGCAAATAATATGCTCTAGGCCTGTCATGATATTTATTTTTTTGTGGCACAATATATTGCACCAAAAATTATTGCGATAAACAATAATATTCTCATTTAATAACCATTTTGAATCTATAATTGCGTTGTAATGCAAGTATATTCTTCCAAAGAACACATAATATTTTAGTGTTAAGAATTTTTCATTTAACTACAGTTCATCCGGTAAGTATTCATAGCGCTTCACTTTTTCCATATTTTTTTTATGCTACAGCCTTATTTCAAAATGGATTAAATTCATTTATTTCCATAAATTCTACACACAATACCCCATAATGACAATGTGAAAAAAGAGTTTTTTGAAATTGTTGCAAATTGATTAAAATAAAAAAATTCTGAAAAATCACATGTACATAAATATTCACAGCCTTTGGTCAATACTTTGTTGATGCACCTCTTGGCAGCAATTAGAGCCTCAAGTGTTTTTGAATATGATGCCACAAGCTTAGCACACCTGTCTTTGGGAAGTTTTGCCCATTCGTCTTTGCAGTACCTCTCAAGCTCTATCTGGTTGGATGGGAAGCGACGGTATTCAGCCATTTTCAGATGTCTCCAGAGATGGCTGGGCCACTCAAGCAGTTGTTGTGAAGCTACTCTATTGATATTTTGGCTGTGTGCTTTTGGGTCATTGTCCTGCTGGAAGATGAACCAATGCCCCAGTCTGAGGTCAAGAGCTCAAAAGGGAACGCATACGGCCACGGCGTAGGGCTATGCGTCAACGCATAGGCTGTGCCGTAGCATACCGTGCGCTTGACACAGAAGGATAAATCAGCCTTAAGAATAGTCCTGGTGGTTCCAAACATCTTCTACTTACCTATAGAGGTCACTGCTCATTGGAACTTTCAGAGCACCAGATTTTATTTTTGTAATCTTGCCCAGCCTTGTGCTTCGAGGCAATCCTGTTTCGGAGGTCTATAGATAATTCCCTTGTCTTATTGGTTTGTGCTTTTGACATGCACTGTCAACCCTGAGACCTTATATAGACAGGTGTATGCCTTTTCAAATCATGTCCAATCAACTGAATTTACCACAGGTGAACTCCAATTAAGCTGCTAAAACATCTTAAGAATGATCAGTGGAAACAGAATGTACCTGAGCTCAATTTAGAGCTTCACGACGAAGGCTGTGAATACGTACGTACATGTGATTTATCAGGGTTTTTATTTTTAACAGATTTGCAACAATTTCAAAAAATCTTTTTTCCCATTGTCATTATGGGGGTGTTGTGTGTAGAATTTTGAAGAAATTAATGAATTTATTCCGTTTTGGAATAGGCTGTAACATAAAAAAACGTGTAAAAAGTGAAGCACTATAAATATTTCCGGATGCACTGTATAGTCATTTTAACAATTTACTATTTAGACATTGGAATCAGATTGTGAAAATGTATGTATCCTAAACAAATAAATAATAATAATAATGTTAACAAAAAGGTGCAAGGTAAAAAGAACTAGAGAAAAAATGAACAGATCTATTTTCAGTTGTCAGGCACCTCCATGAATAGATACTATAGTAATTTATAGTAAATACTAAAGTGTTTACCACTTTACCAACACTGACACCTCCAATAGAGATAGAGATGTTGTGCAATCAGCTAAAATGTTGCTAGAATGATTTTTAATGTATGGGCAAAGTTTTGCATCACCAAAAATGATTAAGGACATGTTCACATGTTGTGCGATAAGTCGATATATTGATTATTGTGACAGGCCTAGCATGCTGTGTTTGAAATCATACAGCAAATTCCAGCTATTTAGTTTCCTGAGTTCGTAAATAATTAGAATAACATTAAAAAGTGAGTGAAATTGATTTCGGACTCTGCTTTAGACATTCATGCCCTTTATGCTTGACATTACACACTTTCCCCAAATCCTTATAAAGTGTTTAACACATAATCCAACCATATGAATTTAATCTCCAAAAAATGTGCATTTTAATCATACTAATTTTATGGCATTGGATTGGCTTTGTAAAAATGTGATGTGATTTTCATGCTTTCCTGTCAACCGATTTGAGTTGCAAATACCAAAAATGAGATTTGTGCTACAAAGCCAAACATTTGACTTTATAATATTCCTATTCAAATCTTAGATTAGATGATTATGAAAAAGACAAAAGATTGTTGCATAAGATGGAAACATTGATTTAAATTCTGTCAGCGCAATACATTTGGCTTTTCATTCGTTCACATTTTTTCTTTTTGGCGCTGAGCCATTTTGCGCTCATCAGAATTACAAATGGAATATATAAACAGCCAGATTAATATGCTAATGACATTGAAATCTTGGCTGTTTTTTCAGTGCAGTGACTAGATTTGTCCTAGCATGATAAATGAGCTTGACATTCTTCACCATAATCCAATCCACAATTCCACCTCCGTTTCAAACCCTATTACGTTCTCCCTTGGTTTGAAGAGCAGGTGTTATGGTTCATTTCCTCCTGAACACACTTGTTTTGCATGTAACCGTTTATTTGATGGTTATCCATGTTTGCATGTGCATGGAGAATCCTTGATGCCATGCCTGACTTATTTAACCCAAGTCATATCACCCAAGCATGAACTGGCTGCCGTGTACTTAAGCTGCATACTATGGGCATCTGATACCAGTCCACGCTGAGAAATCAGAGCCTTCTTCGGGGTGCCAAGTTAGTGAGAACTTCCCCTGAGAGGCTTTGGTGACCGCCAGCAGCTTGTTCATAGTCAACCGTCTACTCCTGATGACAGTAACCATGTATTTACGCTCATTCTCTGCTTCTCATGTTGTCTGGTCAGCATGAAAAGCATTCTGCAAGATTGTGTGTGTGTGTGTGTGTGTGTGTGTGTGTGTGTGCGCGCACTTGTAATCATATTATCATTCATCTCCATCATGTGTCAGGGTGAGAACACAGTCACAGTATTTCATTCAGTCAGCATCAGTTGCACAGACTGGTCGGCATAGGAAGAGTTCCCATATAGTCGTAAGAGTTCCCATACACTGGTGTGGTTTCACCAGAGCCCACAAGCAGACCTGAAAATAATATATACCAAGACTGATGGTTGCTGCTGACACGTTATGTCACAGTTATGGTAATTGCCGGTTTCTCGCTAGTAATTGCATTTTTGAATGTCAAAAAACAATTAGCAAAAATGGAGTTGAAGACAGATGTTGAAGATTTAATGAAAGCTCTGACCTGACTGCTGTACCCGTTTATAAAAACAACCAAAGTAGCTGCATCATGTTTTCATTGTGTAATTATGGTAATTAAGACATGACATGAATGCAGCAATAGACTTTAGCAAGAGTAGATGGCATATTTATTAGGTATTTGCATGGCTAAATGCGAATGCGTTTTTGCACCGTTTTAGGCTTGAGAGCTTTTGTTCACACAATGATACCATTATGACTCGATGTAAAGTACAACAACACAATTTAGTAAAAACTGTGATGTCATAAATATTAAGTATTTGTTCTATAGGCATATGCGAGTACTTGATAGAGAAAACAAAACACTGTCGGACTTACTGTATGTGTGAACCGGTGCATAGTTTTTCTTTACAAAGTCACATTGTCAACATACACTATACCGGTTTTTAACAATAAATTAAAACGGGGGTTATTTTTGCATTGTCTTCTCAACCATGTTGCTGGAGGACCACCAGCAATGCATGTTTTGTATGTCTGCTTTGAATTTCACAGCCATTACAGGTCTTTCAGGCTATGCTAATGAGCTGATGATCTGAATCAGGTGTGTTTGGGTATGGGCTGTTTCTCAATTCCGAGAACGCACTTGTGTTTTCGGGAAGACCATTCTTGCCAGTTTACCTCAGAAGATCTTGAGAGACTGAACACAGAACACTAGAATTAGATGCTGCGTTCTTCCTGATGGTCAATTTTAATGGTCAAATTTAACAGAAAATTTTTTAACCATTACAGCATTCATACAACGAATTATTGTTTACGCCCTTTTATATATATATATATATATATATATATATATATATATATATATATATATATATATATATATATATATATATATATATATGTATATATATATATATATATATATGTATATATATATATATGTATAACATC